GACACCTTAGAAGACCTAGGAATTGGAGGTAGAATGAGGGAATGGATTGGAAAACTGTATAGTAAACCCTCTGCAGTGGTAATAGTAAATGGGGAAAAAACAGAGCCCATTGGGATGTCAAATGGAACAAGGCAGGGCTGCCCTTTGTCCCCCTTATTATATGTTTTGTCATTAGAGCCTCTTTTATCAACAATAAGGAAAAATGGAGATATAAGGGGAATTCAGATAGGAAGTGTAGAACATAAAGTGGCAGCTTTTGCTGATGATCTGCTGTTTTATGTGGGGAATCCCAGGATAACACTCCCAAATCTAATGAAATTGTTGAAGGAATATGGAGAATTATCAAATTTAAAAATCAATCCAACAAAAACTGAGATCTTAAACATAAATATCCCAAAAAGTGAACAAGAAAAAATACAAGAAGAATTTCCCTTTATTTGCAAAGGAAAGAGATATAAAGTACTTGGGAGTAAGGCTCAGCGCGTCGTATAAAAACTTGTATAAGCTAAACTATATTTCACTATTGAATGAAGTAAAAGGGGAATTAAAAGCGTTAGAGAAAGGAACCCCATCGTGGTTAGGACGTATAAATTTGGTAAAAATGATAATTGTACCAAAAATTTTATACAGATTCCAAATGATACCAATTAAACTCCCGGAAGCTTTTTTTAAAGTGATAAAAAAAATGATAACGGGATATATCTGGAGGAAGAAAAAACCGAGGGTGTCCCATGAGGTATTAAGTAGAGATAAAGAGAAGGGTGGTTGGGGGAGTTCCAGATATAAAGAGATATTATAAAGCAGTAATATTAGGTAGAATCTTTGATTGGACGTTCAATGTAGAGGGGAAAAGTTGGGTAAAAATTGAGAATACACTTAGTGGAACTAAATTGAATAGCATAATATGGTTACCGACACAATATAGAGGACTGAAGGAGGATTTAAGTTTGTACACTGTAAATGTATTAAGGGAATGGGATAAAATGCACAAATATATGAGATGGGAATTTAATTCTATACTTATGCCACTAAGAAATACAGAATTTTTTCCACCAGGTAGAGAAGAGATAACAGGTAGATGGTTTATAAAGGAGGATGTCCAACTCAGAGATATAATGGGGGATGGGAAATTGAAGACCTTTAAAGAGCTGGAAAAGGAAAAGGGAAATATTTTCACCAGGCTGGATGAGTGGCGATACTATCAATTAAAATGTTTTTGGGGAAATCTTAAAAAACCCCTGAGAATGAAAGAGGATTGGAATTTGTTTGAAAGGTTGTTGGATACACGGGGTGATGGGAAACATGGAATAGCCAAAGTATATGGAATTCTCACAGATTTAGGCACAAATATTAAACCATTGCACATTGTGAATTGGGAAAGAGACATGGGGGTGGTACTAGATGAAGGAAAACAGAAGAAAATAAATAGTTTAGTTCAAGGAAATGTAAGTTTGAGGGATGTGGAATTAAATTATAAATGTTTGACAAGATGGCACATTGTTCCGAGTGTGGAGGGTAAGATAAGCGAGGAGAAATCACAGTGGTGTTGGCGAGAGTGTGGGGAAGTGGGGACAGTTTATCATATTTGGTGGGAATGTCCAAAGATTCAAATATTCTGGAAAAAAATAATATATTTAATAGAGAACATCATTGAAATGAACATCGGGTTAGACCCTGGGATATGCCTGTTACATAGTTCAGAAATATCAATTAGTAAATATAAAGAAATTAGGTTTAGGGTACTATTTGAACGCAGCAAAAAGCCTGAGCCCCAAATATTGGAAGAAAAAAGAAATACCGAAAGAGGAGGAATGGATAGAGAGAGTAAACTGGACTAGGGAGATGGAGAGGATATATTATATACAGGAAGATAAGCTGGAGATATATCTCGCGAGATGGGAAAAATGGGAAAATTTTGTAACAAGTAGGAGAAAGTGAAAAGTAGAACGTCATAGAGAATAATCGTGTAGGATATGCTTGCTTTGGATACAAGACAAGGAAATGCAGAGTGCGGGGGGGGGGGGGTCAAGGTTTTAAGAGGGGGGTTATTGAAACTATAAGAAATAATCGTATATTTATGATGATAGAGATGAAAATATCTTTTTGTTATTTTTTTTTTCTATTGTTATTTCTGTGCAAATTACTAATAAATATTTAAATACAAAAAAAGAACTGCTTTCAGGCCTTCCAGCTGAGTTCCTCCAAGCTTTGCAGGCTGTCCATACCCGAATGGCAGGGCAGTGGAGCTCCCTCTTTCAGCTTCTCCTCAGCTTCAAGCCACCAGCCTCTAAGTAGAACCCCTTCTCCTCTAAGGCTCCCTCCCAGGCCACACAGCAACACCTCTCAGCAATCCATCTTCCACTCAACTCCCTTGCTAGCATGGCTTGCCTCTTAGCCTGGGATTGGTCAGACTCCCATGAATATGCAGATAGAGGTCTTCACCCTTCCGCCTAATGGCTTCTGGAAGCTTCCGTGGACCTCTAGAACCCGGTGGAGGCGAGTCCCAACCTGATGAGTTATCCAGCCTAACCTCACACATTGCATTGAAGTTTACAGAAAATTACATCAGCTGTAGGTTGAAAATAAAGGCAATTAATCAATAATTTCCTATATGGCTTGTGTAGCATTTTTATATGCGAATTTTATTTTTTGTTATTTTTTTCACAAAAGTGGAGTTACCCTTTATCTCTAACCTTTCCTCCATATATTAAATCTAAGGAAATTTGTGGCTTTCATCTGCTGAGTAACTAAGGAATTCAACTGTAAATACTCAGCTGCCTAGAAAGGCGAGATGGGATCTGTAGTTCTTCACTGCATAAATAGACAGAGGTTCTGTGTAGTTATATGTAAAACTGGGCCCTCCAAATGTCAAATGCACCTTCACATGAACCTCAGATATTAACCGCTGTGTGTAGGTGTTAATTTACGGTTTCCGTTTTTGGCCCTGCGTCCTTACGTAATGAGATATTGAAATGGCATATATTCTAGTTACAGCCCATTCATGTGCAGCTTGCAGAATGGTTAGCTATCCTTCCAGTTACCAGGAAACAGTCCAGTCTGGAAGCAAAACAGAGCCAGAGAAAGCAGAAATATAGACAATTAGAACTAATTATAGTATGTGGACATGTGTTTTCATATTATCTAACGATGCATCCCACAGAATAGATGCAGTTAACCCTGCAACAGCAAATCTTCACAAGAAAAGGATAATTGCGTGTTATTGTACACTTGGATCATCTTCTCGTACACTTTTTATTGAGAAAAAAAAAAAGCTCAATATGTTTGTGTAGGTGGTGCCACCTTTAGATCTGGTCATCTGGGACTTGTCAGATTAAAAGTGAAGGGCCAAATATGTACTGGAATTCTGTTCATTGTTTCTGTTTACTCTTTATCTGTGGGTTACACAGAAGGACTCCTTAGTCCCACATATGTATGCAATGTTTGTTTCCTCAATCTTTCTGTAAAATGCCAATTCTACTTATGTTCATACCTGAATATTGTCCTGAGAGCTCAATATCTCTCATCTATTTGTAGTCGGTTTGTACGTTTGGTCTTTTCAATAGAAAGATTTTAGTATAAAAAGTGACACAGGTGGAAAAGTGAAGGACCACTGTCAAAGCCCCCCAAAATGGGCATTGCTATGGTTAAATATAGGTATGGTTTAACGCAGCCATTCCCAACGAGGGTTCTTATGGACCCAAGGGATCTCTCCACTATGTGGAGGCTCTACCTGGGTTGGGGAGCTCCTAGTAGTAAAAGAATGGCATGCCCTAAAACCAAAGGTGGGTGCTAACAGCTTACACGCACAAGCCACTTTATTAGGTACACCTTGGTTGTACCGAGTTGGACCCCATTTTTCGTGGCATAGATTCAACATGGTGTTGGAAACATTCCTCAGAGATTTTTGTCCATATTGACATGAGTTACTGTTGCCTATCATCATTGAACCAGTCTGCCCATTCTCCTCTAACCTCTGACATCAACAAGGCATTTTCACCAACACGAATTCCCCTCACTGGATATTTTCTCTTTTCGGACCATTGTCTCTAAACCCTAGAGATAATTGTGCATGAAAATCCCAGCAGATCAGCAGTTTTTGAAATACTCAGACCAGCCCGTCTGGCTCCAACAATGATGCCACATTCAAAGTCACTTAAATCCCCTTTCTTCCCCATTCTGATGCTCGGTTTGAGCTTCAGCAAGTCTTCTTCACCGCATCTAGATGCCTAAATGTATTTAGTTGCTGCCATGTGATTGGCTGATTGATTGAACAGGAGTACCTAATAAAGTGGCCGGTGAGTATATATCAGCTATTCTTAACCAGGGTTCAATGGAACACCAGATTTCCTCCAGAGGTTGCTAAGGGTTCCTTAAGCTGTGGCTGATTGACCGCCCATAGTTCCAGGGCCAACACCACCATTGAACTTGATTAATTAATTTTAGCTGGTGTTCCCTGAGACCTGAAAATTATTTCAAGGGTTCCTCTGGAATAAGAATAAGAAAAACTGGTTTAATGGGTACAAATTAATCTGAACTTCGTAAGATACATTCAGGAAACCATAGCTGGATCACAATTGGATCAAAAAGGGCATTTTCATTGCTTCTGGTAATTGAAAAGAGCTGTAGAGGAGTGAAAGAAAGGTGTGTATATGTTGACAGAGAAGGGTGGAGGGGTGCTCTATAGAGAACAACACGTTCCTCTGCTGTGTAGATGGATCTGTGAATGGGTGACATGGCTGTGTTGAAGGAGCCATACACAGCCATGCCAAATTTAAAAAAAATACTAAATGCTGCAGGACAAAGAGCCCTGAGATTCAGGTAAGGGGTAGTAGTTTGAGGGTGCAGCACCACATTTAATGTCACAGCCTAAATATGGGTGTAACAGGAAACAATGGCAGAAAGGTGGAATTAGCTTTTAAAACAAATTTATTTAAATTTTTTTGTGATTTAAGTACTCTTAGAACTTCCTACCTCATTTTCACTTGTTTCTGTATTTACAGGTGGCTTCAGCAAGTTTCAGGCAGAATTTCCTCACCATTGTGAAACCAACCTGGACTCTACCAGTTGTGCCAGTAGCTCACCGCTGCCCCCGACTCCGGTGCTAGGACTTGGAGGTTTGTCCATCGCCTCTGACTGCTCTGACGCTGAGTCTGACCTTGACCGGGAGCCATTGAGTGGAATGGACTCTGAAGGCATGAGCCCACGTAACCAGCCTCCATCATTCCCTGTTCAAATTCTGCCACACTTATACTTGGGCAGTGCAAGGGATTCTGGGAATATGGACACTTTGGCCAAGCTAGGTATACGTTACATCCTAAATGTCACCCCAAATCTCCCCAACATCTTTGAGAAGGATGGAGACTTTCATTATAAGCAGATCCCTATATCTGATCACTGGAGTCAGAACTTGTCTCAGTTTTTCCCAGAAGCCATTGAATTTATTGGTGAGTATGATTAGAATACATGGTTAATATTGCTTGTTAAATACATATGCATACATGCATTTCTCTTCCCTTATATTGACCCCATTGCCTGTATTACCCCAAACCTTTACACAAGAAACCAGTACTATTTATTCCCATGGTAGATAGGTGCCAAGGAGGCCACATTGCTAACAGTAGGACCAGGTCCTCCTAGGGCAGGTGTGCTCATCATTTCGAAGAGCGAGGGTCATTGAAGTGATTTGGTAAGAGGCCGCGGGCAACAGTGGAATAAAATGCTTCAGAAGTTTGAATTTTTTATTTTGAATAGCATAATGAACATTTTCTTTCTGCAGCCAATGAATTCTGGCAAGAGGGAGAGGAGGAGAAGCCAGATTTCAGCGGTTGCATGCAAAAAATGGAAAGGATCGGTTCCTGTATATGCCATCCCTTCTGATATTCTGTAAAACAGAATGTGACAGGGAGACCGCATGGGCCCCCTGGAGCAGGGGCGGGGGCCACCCTTGTGACCCCTGATGCTACACAAGTGGTTGGGAATTTTTGGTAAAGACACATCTCAACTATGGGGTTTTACCCCCCTCCCCCAACTGCAAATGTAAAAGAACCCTTACCGTCCTGAGCCCCCCTATAAGGCTGCTTTCACACACTGTGGTTTACCTATACTGCAGGTGCAGCACAGTGTACCTGCGGCTTTTCTGTGCATTAGCTGCGCTTTGCCATAGACATCTGCATTTAGGAGTTTTGGCGCACTTTTAGAAAGTGCACTAAACCCGCAGGATATAATAGAAGAGTGCTTCTCTGGTTTGGGGTCGAGGGCCATATCAGAGGGCCACAGGAGTTCACACCAACCAGGAAGTGCCTTTTCAAGGCTTGAAGGCCCACTTTTATGTTAAAATAAAGTCCCCTACATCAGGTTTTCCCATGCAAGAGTTTCAGTTTCACACTGCATTTAAAGCAAAACAGCCTCCTGGCTAAATAGCAGCTGTCCTCAAGCTACACAGCTTCCACCTATGGTGGAAGGAAAGAAAATCGACTCATCTATGGGCGGCTTTAGAGGGGCCTCTGCTCCTGGGAGCTTACAATCTAAAGATCATATTCCAAGATACAGTATATTCATATTAATAGATAACTGATAATAGTCTGGTTCTCTAAGAATGGATGACAAATAAGCTATCACACTGGTCACATAGTAGTGACAGTAAATTCAAAGTATAAACAATCCTCATGTTAACTGGGCAAATTAAGGACACGTTTGTGTGTGCATGTCTTTGAGAATGACCTTGTGTCTGGCATCTAGCTGCCTCCCGGATAAGGTTACCTTAATGGATGTCCCTCCTCCCTTTTCCCCGCCACTTATTGCCTTTGTCTGAGAGCTATTTTTACATTACTCCACTCTGTGGTGTTATTGGGATTGTTGTTTGATGAGGACACACAGTTAGATAATGATAAATAGTCCTCTCTCGACTTTGGGGTGAAGTAAATACATTGTGTTTCTCCTTGGTACAAAACATTGTCATTGAATTGCCTAGCGTTTTTATCATCACTGAAAAATCTCTGGAAGTCGAAACTTTTTTAATTGGTATAGGGGTGTCAATTACGGAAACATGCATTAGAATACAAGCATGTAGGGCTGGTGAAAAGGACTTCTGAAGATTGTTTTTTAAAGATGATTGGCTTTAGGAAACAATCTCCAAAAGACCATTTCACCAACCCATTATCCCAGGCACATATGTACATGCCTGTATTTTGAGGGCCAGACAAGTATTCCAGTGCCCAAGGTGAACATACCAAACTGTGCCCCCCCCCCCTCCATGATGTGGGTGCCCCCAATGTTCCTTTGCCCCAGCGCCGGTCCCCATTTTTGACAGCATACCCTTAACTACAAACAATGGATTTCACCACCGGAGACATCTCTGCTGCTCTGCTTGGGCAGCCCCAAGGCAGCAAGGATGAAAGTGGTGAGGGTAGGCTATCAGTTTGGTTGAAATTATTCTATGGGTTGCTGCCTCACAACGTGCCCCCCCAACACATAACCCAACCAAGACATTGTCCCAAGAGGAGCTGCCCTTCCTGCCCTCGCCAGTATCTGCTCTGATTCTAAGACATGTTTAAGAGATTGACCCCCAACCTCATACTGCCCTTATAAAGTATCCTGCTTCAGAGACTTTTCATTGACAATAGAGGCCATTGGATGTCTGTCTTGGTTCTCATAGGTTGTCATATTGTTATTGCAATGACTGGCCTAAGAAGAGCATTTTACAAAATGCGATACAAAAAGCTATATATACTGTACATATCTGACTTATAAATACCACTTGTATTCATAGCAGAAAAAAAAATCAATTGGAGAGGCATGCCTTATTGTGACCCAGCTGCTTATATTCTGTTCCATTTCTTTCTTGATTGACCTAAAGATGAGCAAGTAAATCTGTGAATCAGGCAGACTGCAAACATTTGACCCTTTCTAGTGAAATGCAATTCTCTAATGCTCTTGAATATTCACATTTCACACTATTCACTTGGACTTTTCAATTCATGAATACTGGTTGACTGGATGCAGGAATTACATGATTCACTGTATATTGCATAATATTCATGGCAAGTCTGCACGAATCTCAGATCAATTAACTCATCTCTGCTGACAACCCTTTGCAAATAGACCTCGGGTATTTACTGAACTGTCGACATACAGAGAGCTTTAAAGGCATAGGATTCAGTTAAACCTATTACCAGCCTGGAAAAAAAAATTATTTACTTGCAGGTGTGTTTGGCAAGAAAGTTAAAGTTAAAGCAAACCTGTGACAATAGAAATATGAGAGCTGGCACTGATGCCTTGTTCGTAATGGTGCAGGCTTCTTAACCTGCATGTTTGTTCCAGGTCAGTGACTGACTAAGTAGTGAAGGCTCCATCAACATGACATCATTTACACCCTACACCCATTTGTTTATCCTCACAGGTTCACTTTAAAGCGACTCTCTCACAAAATGAGAAGATAGCAAAGAATGTTACCCTGTAAAGAGAAGATAATATGCATATTTGTCACACCACTTGTGCAGTTGATCTTCATACTCCTCAAGAGCTACAGAGGTCAGGGAATTCTCTTATGACACATTTCTGGGAGTGTTTGAATGTCTGGTCCTCTGTCAAGGTTGGACTCCTGCAGCCGCTATAGGTTATTACTGTGTGCTGCAGGGATGTAGGGGATGGTGAAAGGAGCCACAGCGCTTAATGGGGAACCAGGAATCCAACACTCCCAGGTGTTATATATTATCTTTTCTTTATGGTTTAACATTCTTTGCTAGTTCGTTATTTGGTACAGGGTCTCTTTAAATGCCTCTGTACATAATGAGTATACAGCCTGTTTAATCCTAAGTACTAGTAAGTCTTCTCCATTTGGGCCAACTACAGCCAGAAGTCAAAAGTGCTCAGTCAGGGTGAAAGCAGTTGTCCACTTACCTAGGTTATGGAAAGGAGCTTACATATCTACTCAGAAACACCATCCAGTGGCTTTAGTGTTGAAAGGCATCCCTAACCAAAGTCATTGCACTTTGATACCTGGAAACCTCAATATTAACATCACGTAAACTAGAGTACCTAAAATTTGGGATGGACTCATGCCTATTCCTTGTGTTGGTGGTCAGGCACTATTGCAGACCCTTTCACACAAAGCAAGCAGGCCTACTGGTACTTGGTTGCCCCCAGGTCTTATACACAAAGCTATGGTGCCTGGCTACTACGCCAGGGCAGACACAAGCTAGGCACAGCAAACAGGTAGCAGACAGGCAGAGTGGCCCAGTGGCATTCCGGGTTCAAGGCAGGCAACATTCAGAGAGTAGTCGGGGTCAAATCCATGGTCAAAAGGCAGGTTGAGTTCATAGAGTAGTCCAAAGTCCAATCCAAGATAAATAACAAGGAAATTCAAACTAGCTGGCAGGGTAGGGATCTGCGAAGATAGAGGTTAAGGCATGGGAACAAGGCAGGTAAACAGGGAGCTTGAAGCATGTGTTGCCATCCCTATCACAAGCATGACACTGAAGGCTTGGCAATCTTAATACAGGTTTGGACACCATCTGGAGGCTGTGTCTAGCAATCACCCAGCAGATGGACAGTCAGACAGGGAGAGGGCAGCTCAGCCAAAACCAGGATGCTGGAATAAGACCAGCAGCTACCATGGGTTAGGAGGTTACACGCTCCTGAGATATAGAAGTTACATTTGCCACTTGTATACCCATTCTCACTGTTCTTGCTTGTATAACCCCAGCAGAAAATTTCCAAACACTAATTGTACTAATCAATTAGTGCCTTCACCTGAAGTCAATCAGCATAAAACCATTAACGTCATTAGTTGTCTGGTAAAATGTCGTGCTTCTCTTTTGTAAAAATAGCGGTTTCTTTTCTCTTTTCAGATGAGGCAGCTTCTCACAATTGTGGGGTGCTTGTTCATTGTCTAGCTGGCATCAGTCGATCTGTCACTGTGACGGTGGCTTACCTCATGCAGAAACTCAACCTGTCCCTGAATGATGCCTATGATTTTGTAAAGCGCAAGAAAACCAACATCTCCCCCAATTTCAACTTCATGGGCCAGTTGTTGGATTTTGAGAAAAGTTTGGGACTTAGCAGCCCGGATGACAATCGGCCACACGGCCACTCATTTTTCACCAGTCCTTCCAGCGATGATGTCTTTGAACTAGACTCACTAGACTCCACGTAGGAGAGTTATTTCATATCATGAGGATTTTCAAATATTTTATATCTGTTTTGAGCCTACCCATCTATAGAGGAGCATCAGATAAGTTGAAAAATGTCTTCTCCTTCAAGGCTTGAGATTCAGCAAACATAACTCTAATTGGTCCAGTGTCTTTTCCAATCGAGCATGAAGAATTTCTGAGAAAGGGAAGGAGATGTACATATATTAGGCGGGCATTTTCAAAACCTACAGTATTTCCTCGGTAGTGGCTCTAATTTGATGTGTCTTGACCTGAAAAATCCAGCACAGCTGTTTCTCAAGGAAGTTGGTGGAATAATGTATCACAGATGAGAACCAAAGCATTCAAAAGAAAGATGACCTTACAGAGGACCCTTTTGAAGACCAGCAGCAGTTTACATGGAGCAAAACCTTGTAGCCTTCACCTGAAGTCATCAGCCAGTAAGCTATCAGCAGTACGCTATCCCTTCCAGCATCCAATGGGTTAGCATTGTTCTGATTCATTTTTCCTAATTGCTGAATTTTAGAACAGAGGCATCAGCTGCTCTAAATGAAGTATACTCAACTGGGAATATAAACTCAGACCGGGAACAAACCACGTTCCTTTTTGAAATGGATCACGACAAGGACTGACTCACTTGTTTTGCTTGACTGGAATGATAAATCCTGTGAGCGGAATTCTCAGAGTTTGGAAAGTGAAGGAGCAGGTGGTAAATACACTAACTCCATCTGGAGTCCACGAACATCGATCAAGATTCTACTTTATTGCACAAGATGAATCCAGGCCATTGTAGGTTGGGCCTGAGCATACAAAGCCATGTGTTTTTTTCTCTTGACTTTTGTACAGTATTTCGATTCTAATGTTTTACTAGCTCTGTGTTGAACTGTGTATCTCCTTGGCTGGTTGCCATAGGTGTTTTCTTAAAGATGTCACTCTTCTCAGGCCCAAGGCTACAACAATTTACAAAGCAAAGAAATAAGAACTCAGGATTTCTTCTGGCATTCAAAAAACCTTGTAGGCAGATGGGCTGTTATCAAGAATTTGGATTTACATATTATTACATAAGCTCCACAACCCTGCAGTGCAGGATGGGAATTATCGCTGCTTAGAGTCACAATGACCTTCAAAGGCCAAACCACTTCGAAAAACCACTTCTGGTCTATTGGGGGGCAACACATATCTCTAGAGCTGCAGCAGGATGGCTTTTCTTTTTATATGATTGCTACATAAATTCTAAGTATTGATAGGATTTGTCTACAAGAATTGATTTTAGGGGCGTATTTACAAATTCATGCCATTTATTAACCTCTGCAACTTCATGTTTCCAAAGGTGTAACATCAGCATATTTTTAATATTGCCCTTTGATCCATACAATCTGACTGTATTTGGGTAGACCAATGGCACTTTTGTTGCATTGAGTCCAAAGATTGGGACTATCCAAAAAAGTGTAGGAGGTATTCTTTTAGCTTTATATTCCTGTCACCAGCTAAAAGAGGTTACACCAGAGGCACCCTTCAAAATAAGATGAATATTCAACTCTCTGGCAAGTGGAAACTCCATTCTTTACTCTGTTGTGGATCTACCATTGCTATTTCAGCACTTGTGGGTGTATCAAATAAAATATCACCCCATTGTGCTCCCATTCCATTTCTCCATAGTAGTTATGTTGGGGTCAACAGGAAGAACCACAGTAGGCAGTGGAGGACACATCTGCAATCAAGGCTGCTGATAGGGGGGTAGAGAAGGCCGTCTCATACTGGGCCCAGGATCCATTAGTTCAGCCAAGGGGCCTGGGGAGGAAAGGGGACACTTTATTTTCCACTAGGCACTAGGCTCAGACAGGGCAATCCTGTGGGCCACAGCTCCAACCAAGGTAAAGGAGCAGATAGGGACTATTTCCTTTCTTTCATGCACAGGTAGGGTAGGGTAAGACCCAGCAATTAAATGAAAGTGCTGGCCTGTTCAGGGTTGTCCTAGGCAGAGTCAGGTAGGCTGTATGGGGCCCCATGTGTTCTATTGGCAGCCCTGCCTGCAACTGTCAGATAGCAATTGCGACGGTAGCTCTGCAAGGGAGTTCAGTTTGAATTAGCCGCCCCCCAGACAAGTATAAATTCTTCTTTTATAGGGTTGCTTTGGTGTTACTTCTTTCAGCCCACGACAGGGTCATTTTAGTTTGCCAACAATTGCAGAGTATATGGGTCATCACTAATTTTATGTATTAGGGTGTAATGCAAATATACAGTATGTCTATTAATGTATTTCTTTTTAAAATATGGATAATTTCTTATCTTGATATCATTTTTCTCCCTCTGCCTTAAAGTCCTGTGGAAACTAGGGTTGTCTGCTATCCATTAGGCAGACCTGTACTCTAAATGTAAATGGCTTTTCGAAAAGTTGTCCCCAAGTAAAAACTTTATTATGTGCGGTTTGATTTTCATTTGAATTGTCGGCCACAGAGCCATTGGTCAGTTTTCAAGGGGTCAGTTACATTTTAAGTCATTTATTACAAAGGCCTAAAATTAGCACTTATTGAAAGAGAGATGAACACGGTTTACTCTTATTGCTTAATATAACAATATTCAATACACTGCTCAACAGATATAAAAGAGCCATTTATACTACAAGAGTGTTTATTAACATATAAATATGTAGTATATTTCAAGAATTTAGGAGATATTTGGAATGAATTTGCTATTATGTAAAAAGGTGTTTTCAAACATGTGGAGCTCCTGTGCTGCACTCCCATTAAAAGAATACTTCCTGCCACGATGCTTAACTTGTATGTATAGCCAAAACATTTTTTTTTATTATTTTTTTAGTTTTGAATAGTGTAGTTTATTTTTCGCAAGGTAATTTTTTGCTGACTGTGTACTATTTGGTAAATTTCCCTTAACTTCCTGCCCCAGAGATACAACAGGAAGTTAGAGCAAATTTACCAAAGCAGTCAGTTGTCCCTGAAACATTTGGCCCATTGGAAAATGTCTTCTTACGTGTTCTGGGGACAGCTAAAATGTGGGATTTCCCCTCACTTTTTCTTGCAATAGTGGTCACCAGTACAAATAGAGAGCTTCCCCAATAGGGACACAGACTGTATTAAAAATTGGACAGAGGGTTTAACCTTTCCGCACTCTGTCCAAAACTGAAAAAAAAAAAAAAGGTTTGCCTAGAGATACACTGTGTTCTTTAGCTTAAAATGGCTGAAAACATAGAGCAACAGATTGCACAGTAAAGTTATAGTGATTAATAATAAAAATTAAAAAAATTCACCTTACATAATGGTGTTACCGAATGTAACAGTAAAGTTTAGGTTTATGTTTCAGGAGCCAGAGGATACAATATATTCGGACTATTCTGGTGACAGTAATAAAGGGTCGAGAATGTAAGGTCGTAACTATTAAAGGGTTAGTTCACCCAAAATAGAAGATTCTGAAGAGTTCAACAATCATGGTTTCCTGAGAGTCTCACTGTTGAGATTACACTTGAGTTTGCGGAACTGACAAGATGTTCTGACCATATTAGACTTTAATTCAGCTGATACTGTGGAGGATGCAACAGAAAGAGTGGGAATACCCTGGCCGCCCAAAATGCCAAGATAGCAGGAAAGCACAGCCTAGAGCTATGGAAGTGAGATCTCGCCGTTGGAGTCTTCACGAGATATAATGCATTATCAGATGACCCTGTTCTCTGCAGAATTGATAGAAAATAGATACTGTAGAGTTTGATAAAATAATGTTTTCTTAAAAACTTTAGGGATTACACTGGTGACATTGCACTTGACTTTACAGGACTGTCAAGCTGTGGGAACCACTCTCCCTGTTAGATTTTAAAAAAATGTGGTTTATATTAAGGAGGATGCAACAGGAAGAGTTGGAACACCCAATAGGTGGAACACTCAAATTATCAAAACAGCTATTGCAGGTAGATCTCCCCAGTTGAGCCTCCAAGAGATACAAGAAGCTGGTGACTCTGCTCCCCAGTGTATTGACAGAAAATAGAATATACTGAAGAGTTCAACAACCTAAAAGGTGTCTTAAAAGTCTTAGGGATTACACTAGAGTTTGCAGGGCTGCCAAACTGCTGGGGCCACTCTCCTTGTTTCATTTTTTAAAATTTGGTTTATATTCTGGAGGATGCTACAGGAAGAGTGGGGACACGCTATAGGTGGGACCACTCAAAATACCAAGATAGCTAGAAACAGACTCAAAACCTATGACAGGGAGATCTCACCATTGGAGTCTGGAAGAGGTATGGGGGGGGGGGGTTTATGAAATAACCCTGCTCTCCAGAGTATTGATAGAAAATAGAAGGCACTGAATAGTTTCAACAACCTAATGGTTTCTTAAAAACATCTTAGAGGTTACACTAGTGAAATTGCACTTGCATTTGCAGGGCTGCCAAGCTGGTGGAACCACTCTCTCTTGTAGATTTTTTTTATTTATATTATGGAAGATGCAACAAGCAGAGTAGGAACATTCTATAAGTGGGACCACTCAAAATACCATGATAGCTAGAAACAAACCAAAAAAACTATGGCAGGGAGATCTTGCCACTGGAGTATCCAAGAGATACAGGAAACTGAGTATGATACTGAGTATCAATAGATCAAATACAATTTTAGGTGAACTTACCCTTTAACCTATTCTCTTTTATAGCTACCTTATAGTGTTGTAAATTGACTGAAGTCACAATCCTTAGCAATTCCAAGATAACCGTAAAATACAAATTTTAAGTATTTAGTGCCAGAAATGTACCTGCACTGTCATGGGTCACAGAGGCCAGTGACATTAATGCGGGTGCGATCTAGCAATATCATCAGTTCCCAACTGGTGCTTTCCCAACTTAGGTCAACTAACAATGAATGCCACACACATATATCTTTGTTATATTACTTTCCCATCTTCAACTGGGATCATTTTCCTATGAGTGGAGACACTTGGGATGACCTTTGCTTGAGTCTGTGAAGCCTTTGCATCATGGATATCAAGAGTCTTTGGAGAAATTGCA